ACCAAGACAGACAGAGCATGGGATCGAATCGGTAACCTTCCGGTTACAAGATGAGCTTCCCAATCCCCCAAAACCACAGTCGCCCCGATGTCGCACTTCCTTTCAGCTGACTAATTTGAGTGTTGTTTCTTCTTTTAAATACACTGTGAAATATAAAAACATCTAAATATCTAATCTGAGTCCAGATTAACTGTGGAGAAGAGCAACTTATATATATTACATATGTTTAACCCCTCAAGTTGAACTGGCATCGTCTGCAGGATTAAATGAAAGGAATAATTCTGACATTCGCATCCAATAACAAGCCATAAAGGGGTGTCAAATATGCAATTAGGCAGTTGCACAACTCTAGCATAGCGTACAGATAACCAAACCAAGAGTGAGTGTGTGTGTGTACCATAATGTAGGGAATGTGTGTGAGAGATAAGGTGAAGTGCAGTGAAGTTATAGCTTAAACGTAAAGTGAAATATGCAGCTCTGTCCTGCATTAGAGTCACTTTTAATGGGTTTTAATGTGTACAGTGACAACAAAAAGACTTCTGCTGTGTGTAAGCATGTGTTTATAAGTAGATTTAGTTTATACAATGCTTGCATCATCCAATAGTGGCATTAATATACCTTTTAACAGTGACACAATAAGGTATTTAAAGGCCATCTTTATAGTTTCCAGCAGTGCTTTTCACTATCTAGTTAACAACTTAATTTAAATACAGCACTAGACTTTGCACCAGCTCCTGCTACATGTGCTGCAGAAAGTGCTGAGATAGGTGTGAACCACGTTTTCTGAACTACTCTGCTAAACACACTATGTGAGGACACCACTTCTAAATTAACCCAGTTATCCTTTTTATTTCTACATAACACACACCGATGCCAATAACAATGAACAGCAATGATTATCAAAATATCGGCTGATAGCACTTTCACTGATTGCTTTATCCAAATAACCTAATAAAACTGTGTCTCACTAGGCCATTGGCAAGGATGAGATTCTATAATTGAACAGGAAGGAAAGTCTGAACAACAGGTTACAATCAATGACAAAAGATAGCGGTGCTAGTTGTTAATGTTCGTTTGTGTTTCTCAACAAACACACAGACAAGACGTTTAAAATAGATTTATGGTCTCCCGTCCCCCGGTCCTTAGCGAACATGCTCATGGCCAGATGCGTCCACCCTTTCATATACATCTTCTTTTTTTAAAAGCACAATCTCTATTTTAAGTTGTGCATTTCAAATGTTGCAGCACAACAGTGCAATAAATCGCACTTATTATCGCTCATAAAAGTGTGTCTTGTTGTTTTCGCTGCATGCCGTCAACACTCGTGGTAAGTTTTGGGAAGAGGGCTAAACTTCAGTTTTTCGAGGATGTTTTATGATAGTTAATTTTGGCTAACTATGGGAACACACAGGCCCGAACTGGCATTAAAACCTTGGCATAGCCGTCTGCGGTGGCTACTCCCACCCATGTGTGACTCATATCTCACTAAAAATCAAGCGGTTGTTGACAACAACTACCAATGCAGGAAAAAAAATCGCAAAACAGTACCTTAAAAATAAAAGTAAAATATAATAAGGGACTTGCAAAAGAATCTTGCTTAGCTTACCTTTAGTTTTGTAGCGGAGTGTTGCAGAGTTTCAAAGGACAGCTCGCTGCAGCGGAGCACAGTGAAGAAGAAAGCAGAGGGAACCAGACTGAGCAGGCGCAGGTCAGACCTCCAGCAGAGGGCGGGGCCGTTGTGCAAGTGACGTTGGGCACCAAGTCTCTCTTTTATTATAAAATGTTTGCAATATGCACATTGTGTCCATGACGCACACAGGCCTAATCATTCATTAGAGAATAAATTAATGCCCAGCAGCATTTGAAATAGAGAAAAATATGTTGATATGTTGAAAAATGTAACTAAGAGGTCTGACAGGTTAGTAATTCCAGTGTATATAAGAGTCTAAGAATATTTAAACACGGCCAGCTTCATACATTAAGAGAAAATGGAGGGGAGAAAGGATATATAATTCTAATGCCTGAGAGAGAATAGACAATAATTTAGAGATTTCAGTGTAAATGTACCAGCTCACAGAAATAGAGGGAGTTTGGTTGGAAGAATCTGATAAGATTTAATGCTTTATTACACCTCTCTCAGAAATAACGCGATACTTCAACCCCACTCCCCACCCTTTCTGCTGAAACCCAAAATCCAAAACCCAAAGTACAAACTGCTACCATGTTTTGTTTTGTTTTTTTTTTTCCCCTTTTATTAAAGACTATTGGACACATGGTGATCTGTGTGGTCTTTAATTGTGAAATTCCCTGAGAAAGTAAGATTATATGTTTCTGGGTATATACCTTCAGAATGGAGATCTGGGTGCTAAAAATACTGTTACTGAGAAATGGATATTATTACAGGAGAGCCCAGTGCACATGGACGGAACTCACAAAGGGCATGTATAAAATGGAGATCATAACAAAACGTTTCATTTATCCATCCAAATAATTTGTTTTATCCTGGGGAAAATTAGTCTGTTCTTGGCAATTATTATTGTAACAGTAATAATAATGAAAATATCTATTTAAAAAAAAGAAATAGGGAAGAAAATCATGTCATATTTGGTGAAAACGGCATGTGGCTTTATTATAGTACTCTGTTTATATAAGTGTAATTCCACAAATGCTAACCTTTCATATTTTTGTTAAAGTTCATGGACTCCAGTAACAAAGAAATGTGGTAAACATACTCTCAGTCTAAGTACCTTAGTGAAAAGTTTTATTCATATTGTTAAAGCCTCGGTAGTGCTGGAAAAAAGGGAGAATAATAACTGTGAAGCTGCTATATTTACTAGAAGTGCACTCTGGAGTCAATGACAATGACCTCTACCTAATGTCCCCTTCGAATGATTGGGTTTGTAAACCCTGAGTTAAGCATGTCAGGCAAACCGGGTACCTCCTGTGTACTTAGGCTGCACGCTCTGACAGGCATTTGGTCAATTTTATATTTATTTTTGCATTAGCTAAGATTAGGGGGATTGTTAAGATTTGAGTGTAGCTCGATAATTAATTAAAAGAGAGTACTGCTGATCCTGAAAGACAACACGCAGGGTCACTATACCACCTTATACAAAGCGACAGGATTAAAGGTTTAAAACTGCAGAAACCATTGGATTTAGAGGTTTTAGTTCTGATTACAGTTACTATTGTGTTTTAAGAAGACAAGCGCTTTGTCTTATTCTTTCAGGAATTTGATCGCTGTATACGCTTTTCGATTAATAATATTTGCCCGGCTGCTTTATTTCTGTGTGCGCCTGCTCCGTTGCCATGGTGATGAGTACTGCAACAAGTGCCGAGACCTCGGCGTCATCAGCGTGCGTGAAAACAATCAACTGATAAACAACAGGGGACAGAGGTAAATAGATTACCGTCTCTTCTTTAGCCTAAATGGAGCTGGTTGCAGCGACGTTAAGATTACCTGCAAGTTATTCGTGACTAAACACGTGCGTGTTTTGTATCTTATCCTGAAGACGTCGAAAGAAAAGGTGTTGAGGAGATAACTTTACAACGAGGTAATTAACATAGCAATTGTTAGCCTTTAGCAAGCCCTGAAATAGAGGAAGAACATGTATTTCCACTACTATATTCTGAAGAATCGCTGTATTCCGATCAGCTGAATTAGGTATAGAAGCTGCTCTTCTGTATAGTGTTTATGAGTTGGGTTAATTACTTTTTATTAGAAAGGTGCAGGCCAAATTAAATCAGCAGTCTTACGTGTTTTTAAGTAACATTAGCAAATAATTCACATCACATCGTCTTTTTCAGATGTGTGAGGGACCTTCGTCTATATCTGGGCCAATTCCCCCGGATCCTTCTCTGTTTCCCCAGTACTACAAGCGACCAGCTTCAGGTGGGGTGCAGCCACGTGGTTGTGGTGTAATAATTAATTTAGAGTAATAATTTTTTTTTCACACAATCCTTTATTTACATATTGCAGCATTGAGATATGAGTTGGGTGGTTGTGATGGAAGGATGGCAACTAAAGTGAAAAGAAAAGTTTATAAGATAGTAATGAGACCTGCTATGATTTGTACTTTGAAGATGGTGGTACTAACAAAAAGACAGGAGGCCAAGTTCGAGGGTGCACAGATGAAGATGTTTGTTTATTAGAAATGAGTCCATCAGAGGGTCAGCTCAGGCTGAATGGTTTGGAGACAAAGTTAAAGAGCCATAGGGTGAGTTGGTCTGGATAAACCAATATTTTTGGTTTATCCAGACCAAATAACCATGAAAATTGGACTTAAGAAAAGAAAACTAAAAAAATCTCAAATTATGATCAAAATTAAATACACAGTGGATTTTTAGTGCATGTTTTCTAGGACAGGAATGGCACTGAAACTAATAAAAACTAAACTGAAATGACCAGGCCCACTTTGGATATTAAAATTTCAGTAATTTTAAATAAATGAAAATGGAAAGCTAAATATTTATAATAAATCATAATAAAGGCTTAAAGCTACCCAAAATACTTAAAAACTGCAACAAATATTAAACTCTAATAATTCTAGCTCAAGTTTATTTTATTTTTCTCTTCTCCTCAAGCTCGGGGTCGTTTAGAGGGAAACCATGATGGTACTTTGGCCCTGCTTTCAGGGCCCCTTGCTCCAGATCCTGTGTTGTACCCAGGTTGCTACAGTGCTCGTACCCCAGCACAACACCCCCGCATCAGCCCCAATGCTACCCATATCCTGGAACGAGGTCAGAAAGGGGTTGTAGGGGAATTACTAAAAATAGACAGTATTTCTATCTCTCCTGTTCCAAAACAGAGTAAGTGGGTTTTTTTTTTTAAACTACTAGTTATTAAGATTGAACACTGATGTATTAGCTTTTGGTATTTTTTAGCATCTTATTATAGAAAGCATGAAAATAATGAATTTGAATGATTGCATTTGTTAAAAGAAAATTAAGACAGCCTTTCTTACCCTCAGAACAGCGAGTGATGCATGATTTTGGTAAAGAGAACGTCCGTCGACTGCGAGAGATCCAGAAACGCTGCAAAGAGCAGGAGGCTGAGAGAGCACAATCACGTGCTGTTCCAGTTAAAGCTCTTTGGACCGCCTCAAAATACCAGAATGTCCCATCCAGGGTGATGGCTCAGCTGCAGGCAAGAAGCATATCTGTGAAAGATGCCTGTCCATGAGCACTTCATTTTTCCTCATCAGGTTTTGACCAGTCTATTTCTTTTATGAAGGTTTCCAGTCCAAGTGTTAAGCCACAGTGTCAAAACTTTCTGAAGGCGCATTCCTATGGTGGATCTGCTTCCCCACAAAGGCCACAGTCCAAAACTTCACGTGTAGCTGAGCAGCGTCGGGCCTCCTGCAACTCTACACAGGACCTGGACTTGCAAGTGAGAATTGCTAAAGTTTTATTGGAAGTTCACATCTACATTTTAAACATGCTTCTAGAGATTGTTTAAATTGCAGTTACAGGTTCAAGGTCAGACAATAGACTTCATAAAACATAATGCCCGGACTGCAGGAAAAACTGTGATTCGGCGGTCCCAGTCACTGACAAACCTCAGAGATAAGCCTGTACCCAGTGCAGTCAAGGGCCAGGTTCCTCAATAGTGAGTGTTATTGAAACCTTCAGTGTCAGTGTGCTTAATGCTCATGATATTTCACCACTAGATACTTTTGACTTTTCTGACACCCTTGTTTTTTTTTCTCTGCCCTTTGACATTGACACTAATATAGCCTTCAGGAAAGGAAGGAGCAGTGGCGTAAAGAGAAAGAAGAAAGGAGGAGGAATACTCCTGATCCTACGGTCCCAACTGGACACACCTTGATGCCTGAGAATGAGAGACAGGAGACTCTGAAGTCCCTAAAAGACAGTATGATTCCTCCCTTTCATTCATACATGTAGATAACTGCCACGGGAATGCCCGTGATCTCTAAAGATACTACACAGTGCTTTTAACTTGGCAGTGTTGTGTGTGTACTGCTTGTACATTAGTCCTAAAATCTAGTGATGGGATGTGGTGGCTGAGCCTTTGGAGTGTGTGTTGAGAAATCCAGGAAGTCTTTTATGAAGCGTGTATCAAGGCTTTAGTTGTTGTTGGATCACCACCTTTAAGTTGCAGAGACAATTTTTTTTCTAGTAAAATTCTTTTCTTGGTTTGATTTTTCGTCAGTTTGGCCAAACAATCTATACTACTACTATAAATATGGCAAACTAATCCACTGCTGTAGGAAAAAAAAAGACTGGGCTGTCAGTCTGTTGAAAAGCCTATTATTTCTTCCTCCAGTGCTCAGCCATCCATCATAATAACAGCAGCTTAGTAAGTATAGTAAATAGTACAGAATGAACATCAGTATTTGCCTCACTAATTATGTGTTTCTGACACTTTTTTTTCTTCAGCCCACCGCTCCCTGGTGACCGAGCTGCTCTCCCTGCCTCTCAAAGCTGACAATCTGAGTATTCGCTCACGCCGGGCCCAACTTGACTGTAGGCTTTCTGAAATTGAAGAAGCCATAAAAATTTTCTCCAGGGACAGAGTTTTTGTAAAAATAGATTCCTAACACACGAGTAAAAGGAGGAAAGGAAGTGGCTAAGTAAATGTATTGCTTTATTGAGATTAATTTTCTTTTTTTTAGTTGCATTAGGTAACATTACGCTGATTGTTGTGAAATTTTTATTTTTTTAAATGTGATTAAATCATTTTATAAGCTTATTACAAAATACAAAAAACAAAATATTATTGAAGTGATAAGATTCTTACGTGAAACTTGTCCTTTATACATGCTGCTCACTTGTAGGTAGAAAAGAGAGGCAGATATTGTCCAAACTTACCATCATCTTTAGGTGTCATTTGCTGAGATGTCATTTCTTTTGTATGGATGTGCTAATGACTTATGATTGTGACTGCTAATGATTTATAATAAAGAACATTTTTGTGAAGTTATTGTGTTTGTACTTACATCCTTTTTGTAACGTGGAATATTAAAACCTACCAAACAATACACTACAGCTTTTTTTAGTTAATTAATTTCATTTCATGAATAAATAGAGAAACACACTAGAACTCGGTAATTTTCGATTGTTCCGATTCACATTTATACTATAATCTAGTAGAAGCAGATGTGAACGCTGTGGCTAACGATGACGTTTTACGCACGCCCCGCCCCCTCTACATTATCGTTCATTGTTTGGCTTGAGAGCTATCCTAAGCTAACCTGCTAGTAGGAGGCTAGCTGGAAATAAAACGAGCTTCAGGCTCTCGTGCCTACATAAACGCCCATATATCTCTCCAGCGTTTATTTGAGAGACTGTCAGATTCAAAATGAGCAAGAGGAAAGCGCCACAGGAGTCCCTAAATGAGGGAATAACAGACTTTCTCGTCGGTACGTTGAGATTGTTGAACTCAGCTAACCGTAGCTAGCATGGAAGTTGGGTTCTGTTATTGAATAAAAATACCCACCGTGCTGGTAAACTAACTTTGCACGAGTAGCGGGTATCAAAATATTTTAAACATGGAGTTGTAGTTCTTGGATCTAGTTATCTGGATTACTTACACGTGTGATTTGGTTCGCTCGCTATCTGCCTTGTCATTTAAATGCCTTCTACCTTCAGCTGAATTGGCAGAAGATTAAACTAGCATGAGGGAAATGTGAAGTCTTTCATTGTCCTAACATTGCCTCTGTTTCCAGAATTGGCCAACTACGAGAAAAATGTCAACAGAGCAATACACAAATACAATGCATACAGGTAAGCTCATAATTATGTGAAAACCTGTCCCAGTCACTGGTCTTCATAAAACAAGCGTTTCAAGTGTATTACGTCCACTCAGCCATAAATGATGGTGTTAGTACAACACCCCCATATTGAAGATTACAGCATTTATATGACTAAGAATAGACTCATGCTAAAAGAAACATTTTATTGAATTAGAATTTCTTTAAAACACTTAGAGTTAAGAGAAATAACTCTTTTTTTGTTGTTGTTGCTAAAACCTACATTATTAGAGTGAACCCCACATGATCGGATAAGCAGCACTTCACAGAAAGAACCCCCTTTTAACAGGGGGACCTCCAAAAAGACCTCCAGTAGAACTAGGTCCAGGGAGCCTGTCTGTAGTGACCTGTTTACAACAACAGGAACTTGGAGGTGGTAAAAAAGGAATCATTACATGCACTAGTGGTATATAAAACAAAGTGTTAAAAGAGGTTAACTGAATCATGGGAAGCCCCAGAGCAGCCTGAGCCTCCATCAGCGTGACTAAGAAATGGTTCAAAACCGATACCTGATCCGGCCTTGTCGTTATCAAAAAGGAAGTTTTATAGTGGAGAGGGTGACTGTCTCTTCAGTAAAAAACTGGAAGCTGATTCCACTGGAAAGGGGCTGATGGTGGAAATCTTTACAACTTTGTTATTTAGGATCCAGTAAGCCAAGTAAGCCTCCAGTCCGAGAGTGAAGGACTCTGCTGACATAATAGGATAGAGTCCAGTCATTCAGGACTTAAAAGGATTTTAAATTTGATTTTGTATTTAGCAGGGAGCCAGTTAAGATAAACTATAATAGGAGAAGTATGATCTAGTGTTCTAGTCCACCAGAAAAGCATCGAGTGCAAGATAAACTTCCTGGATTTATGATTAGGTTTTTGCTGTATGCTGTATCACTGGCTTGGTGTACATGATACATTGTTAATTTAATATACAATACACTAAGTAGAACAGCATTGTCATTTTTACACTTACGATCTAAAAGAAATTAACCAAAAGAAAAAGTGGCCTAATTCAATTTTACATATGTTTTTTGCTAAGACTTATACAGTCCCTTTTTTCTGTGCTTAGGAAAGCAGCATCTACGATTTCTAAGTACCCTCACAAAATCAAAAATGGAGAAGAGGCCAAGAAACTGGTATGTATGTATATGTTGTCATAGGCAGACTGATAGATAAAAAATATAAATGAAAGAAATGTCTTCTTTCTTAACAAAAAAAATGGCATATAGGACAGCAGATTTCTCTTTGCATGTTGTCAAAGCAGAGATCATCTTTGATCCTCTCCATGTGCTTTAAAATCTGTGACTTTCACTGTCACAATGACATTGTTAAACCTGGCAGCACCCCCATCATTATTTATCTGGCCTACCACTAATGTGCTCATGCTGCTGTTTATGTGATGGCCTCTGTTGTAGCCTGTTTGTCAACAGCTTCTCTGCACATCTTACATAATCACTGCAGATCACACTGCTGAGCAGCAGCCTCATGATTGTTGTCACATTTCAACAGGATGGTGTTGGAGCTAAAATAGCAGAGAAGATTGATGAGTTTCTGCAAACTGGCAAACTTAGGAAACTGGAAAAGGTGAGTCTAAGAATGTGAGATCACATTACTGATGTCACACTGTAAAAATAATTTTTTAATAGTTATTTTTATGTATATGTACTGAGTTATTACACCGACTGATGCGCTACATTTATATCTTCCAACAGATCCGAAACGATGACACTAGCTCTTCCATCAATTTCCTTACCAGAGTTACTGGAATTGGGTATGTTGTTTGGTTGTTCAGTCTGTGCTTTTGATAAAATAAATTATATGTTCATATTCAGAATTAAAATATACCAAGTATATTATTCACTTTCTGTTGTAACATTGTATGTGCTTTATGTTCACTTCAGACCTGCTGCTGCAAGGAAGTTTGTTGAAGAAGGGGTGAAGACTTTAGAAGGTTTGTGTAGCATTTGCCTCAAATTAAAATTGATACATATTTTCTATGGTTAGTATAATTTTTTTTTTTTTAGCTTAGTGCCGTGAGCAGGCAACCACACGCCAAATGGCTAGAACGCAGCAGGCAAGGTTCAAGCTGAGCTGTGGCCCTTTGCTGCATTTCTTTCCCTCTCTTTCTCTCTAATTTCCTGTCCTCTCTACTTACAATCCAGAAAAAAGGCAAAGACCAAAAGATAAGTAAATATAGAATAAATTTCAATGAGAAGGATTCTTGATTTTGTTTTTTTGTTTGTTTTTTAGATTTGAAAAAGATCGAGCACAAGCTAAACCATCATCAACAGATTGGCCTGAAGTAAGTGTGACTAAATGTTCTCCAGATGTTGTCTTGTAGGTTCTTGGTCATCCAGATCATGGTTGTCTTACGGTTCTTTTAGTTCTAAAATATCTGAGTGAGAGTCGCATGGTACACAATGCCTGTGACTTTCCATCAAATATTTCAGAACTGAAGAAGACTCTTGGATCTGAAACATCTTCACAAACCTGAAGAAGTCCAGTTGCCTTCTTTTCAGGCACCCAAGATCTCTAAATGTTTGATGTATTTTAAATATATTGAAAAAATGTTTCAGATATTAAAGACAGCAAAATATGCTGTAATTTTGCTGTCTTTAGGTACTTTGAAGAGTTTGAGAAAAGGATTCCAAGAGCTGAAATGGAAAAGATGGAGGTGATCAAGCATTTTTATATTTCTAATATCTTTAAATGCTTTTTTTCATACAGACTGCCCTTACACTGTGATTTCTTGTATTTACCCAGACTCTTATTCTTGGAGAGTTGGAGAAAGTTGATCAAGAATATATTGGAACAATCTGTGGAAGCTACAGGAGAGGTATTCTTATCAAGTTACTGGTCCATGGGTTTTAGGTTGCAATACCACTTCAGCCTTTTTTAATACTGTTCATAACTTCCAGGTGCTGCATCGAGTGGTGATATTGATATTTTGCTGACGCATCCAAACTACACCTCTCAGACTGAGAAGCAGGTAAGACTTAACTCCATCACTCAGTTTAATTACAGGGTGACATGTCTTTTTAATCTTATTTTTTCTTCTGTTTCTGTTTTGCAGCCAAAGCTCCTTCATGCTGTGGTTGAGCATTTGGAGTCCATCGGGTTTGTGACTGACACACTGTCCAAAGGAGACACCAAGTTCATGGTGAGGCGTCTTGTTTATTTTCTGTCTTACTGAAGGAGGTATGAGTTTGATGTACTGATTTGTAATGTAGTTAGTACTGTAACTGCACCCAGTCGCTGTAGCGCATGACTATGGTCATGATGTTCTGGATCTTGTTTTTCTAGGGAGTCTGCCAGCTGCAGCAGAATGATGAGGATGAGGAGGAATACCTTCACAGACGTATTGACATTAGGTGCCCTTCTTTAAATTGGTCATTTACATTTGAAACATTTATATAGGTTCATGGGATTCATTTTGTTGCTTCAGGATTCTTTGTCAAGATTATGTGTAATCATAATTAAGCACTATGCTCTTATGTTTAATTTTGTGTATTTATGGGATCTATTTGTGATGCTGTAATTAAAACATTGCCGGTACTGTTTTTCAAGTACCAGGCATTCCCAGTTATTCAGCACAGACAGTAAAGAGGCAACCCTATTTTTGTATTTGATATTTTAACATGTAGTTTGTTCCTGCTCACTGACTGTCTTTTATTTATTCTCAAAGGTTAATTCCCAAGGATCAGTACTACTGTGGAGTTTTGTATTTTACTGGCAGTGACATCTTCAACAAAAATATGAGGACCCACGCACTGGAGAAGGGCTTCACTCTCAATGAGTACACTATACGACCACTGGGGGTCACTGGTGAGTGTTAGTTCCAAAAAAAAGAAAAACCAACAACAACGACTAAAACAACAGGAAAAAAAACTGAATTTCCTGAACTCTTCTCTAGCTCTGAGCAACATATATATCATTCATCACCAACCAGTGATTCATACTATAAGCTTTTAACATGAGCTGTTTTCCTTTGTGCTTCTGTTGTAGGTATGGCAGGGGAGCCTCTGTTGGTGGATAGTGAGAAAGACATCTTTGATTACATCCAGTACAAATACAGAGAGCCGAAGGATCGCAGCGAGTGAAGCAAAGGACAGCTTTACAGTTAGATCTGGAATTAAAGCCACAATTCTCTTAAAAGAAAAGAACTAAAAAAAAATAA